CAACCGAATGTGGAGGGTCCGGAACGTGCTGCGAAGCTTCAAGCAACATCAGTGAGTCGCTCAGGCTGCAAAACCTCCAAAACCACATGAAACCGCTGTTTAGCGGGAACATCGTATAAAGTTGCATATTATTCGAGTTGATTTTCTGTAGATATCTAAACATTCTAACCCATGAGGAGAATTTCAAGCTCCAAAGCCCTTCTGGACCTGACACAACTCCACCCCAGCCGTCGCATCAAATCCCAATGGATGGCCAGAGAGTTCAGGTGAATTCTCCGGACACTGGCCTTTCCACAGACCTCTGTATCTCCTGCCCGAGCGCGGCTGGAGAAACTGTCCCGACATGAGTCAGGAAAGTTTCTGCCATCTCCTCAGGTTGGAGGCCATCGCTATTAGGTTGGAGGCTATCTCTATTAGAAACAAAGAAAAAAGAAAAGACAAATGTTGGCTCTCGGGTGCGAAGCCCAAAGAGGGAATACCCGAGCAACCCGAGCAACATTCACTACCGCTTGTTGGAAGGTGTCTCCAATCGGCTCAAACCACACGGGTCGTTGATCATGTGGACCGCCTTAAAACGCAGACCCACACCAATGGAAAGCAAGTCACTAAGACTAAACTGACTTAATGTATGTATATCGAAAAGAAGTGGTGTCCTGGAGGGCAAATCCTGGAGGGGAGAGGGGGAGGAGGGGAGAGGGGAGGAGGGGTGAGGGAGAGGGGAGGAGGCCACAACTCTAAGTACTTCATCCTATTTCTATCTCATTTAGGCTCTTTGGAGACCCCTGGAGACCCCAGACTTACCCTCCACATCTACGGACTCCACGGTGACCCACGTTTAAACAAAACCACTCTCCAACGGCCTGAGCTTGACGGCTCGGCAGAGCGAAGCTCCATCTGCCTTGAGCGGCTCAGCGCAGCACAACTTCAGCCGTGCTGTCGCCCAAAGAGTTTTTGCCAGCGGTGTCCAAGAAAGGGCACATACAGTAAATGCTGCTCTTCTTTTTGGACAACTCTAATAATCTAATATATCCATATGATTTCATATGTAATCATATGTATATTCTTTCTTTTGGATGACTGTCTTTTTGTCTCAAATCAGCAAAGGGAAAAGGACCAGGGTGTCGATCCTCAAGCAAACATATACGTTCGGTAAGAGTCCCTCATACGAGCAGTTCACCTTGGTAGCGAAAATGACCTACCATCGGTGTTCCCTGTTGACTCACACTTTCCGTGGGCCTCTCCTTCGATTTGCTCTTAAATCACCATCGTTGACACGCCATGGCGACCCAAATCAAAGCAAACAAACATCTGGAAATGTGTAAAAGGGCCGACAAGACCAAGCTTTCTCATTGGTCCAACTGTTGTCGTCGCAAATAAATCAGAGTGTTCAATAGCTCAGTTTCAACCAGCGAAAGTATACTCTTGATTAGTAAATCCCCTGACATGAAGTAGATAGATCAACGGTATCACCGGAGACATACCCACCCAACCCCACCAGAAAATCTGGGAAGAGGAGGTTTCGTGGGCGCGAGCGACAGTCCGCAAGTGAGTGCATCCAAAAAGGATGGTTTAATTATTAATTATGTACAAGTTTGGGGATAGGGATAGGTCAGTGAAGACGCTGGCCGCAAGACCTACACCCCAAAGTGAGAGAATTGTTGATGAATTTGGTGAAGGTCCACAGAACATAAAAACCAAGTCTGACTTCAAGAGATTCACAGCGCCACAACAGCTTAAAAGCCTCACCGGCCACGTCGATCAGGTCGACCAGGCGCGAAACCGCCCCGCCCCGCCTGGCGCCACCAAGGAAGCTCCCGCCGCCAGCAGTGCCCATCTCCTTAAGGGTCGGTCTGCAAAGAGGGGGCGGTGGGCCGGGCCGTGGAAAAATAGGGAAGGTCCCCCGCTTGCTGTAGAGTCTGCAGAGTGACTGGTCGATTTTTCCTTCTTCCAGGGGGTTGAACTAGGAGGTCTCCCTATTTTAATACACACCCAGGTAGATTCTGTCACTTGCCGGTCCGAAACCAGAAGAAAGACACCCCCCCAAAAAAAAAGAAGGGTCACGGTGCACCAAGGAAATGATGCTCCCCTGCACCTGAGGAGGACTTTAAAATAGATGTTGAATGGTTGTGTCATGTTCTGGAATTGTGGCCGCCCTGGTTCCTTTTGCTACAAACAGGATGGATTCTCTGGAGTTACCACAGGTATACCTCGCCCACATCATGCAAAACTCATCAACATGAGACTCGCCCCATATCATGCTTCCGCTTTCCAGCATGCCAAGCCAGAAGCATGGTGTGTGGGACCCAGGCGAAGCATACCGTAAAACCCATGGTTCTTTCCTACCACCGATTCGACGCATGGTGCTCGACGTGAAAACAACCACGAAGTTGGAGACCACCTCTGGGTCTGAAAAAGCTGCACATGCGCGGATTTTCCTGTCTGCTTTCGACATGCCACAGATACATGAGGACCTCTGAGGACCTTTCAAGTTGGGCAATTGGTCACCGATGTCCCTTGTTCTGAGGTCTGCTCGACCGTAAATCATGGTGACGACAGAAACGTGTGTCAACACATACGCATGCAACATAAATATCATGAATATATATATATATATTAATATATATTGTACATATAGTTTAGTAGCACAACACTGGCTATGTTTATCAGATGGAAAACAAGAAACTCGGCTACACTTCTAATGTTCAGGATATTTCTGAAACCATGCGCTGCTCTTTCGCCTTCCATCTGGCCCCATCCCCTCGGCGTGGCACCAGCGGCTCGGCGCCACCTGAGGGAATGACATGATGACAGGAGCGGTCAGAACATGTTTGTTCTGAAGCTGCCACATCTGAACACCCAAAACAGCGAGAGACAACCAAAATGACCCTTCAATCACCAGATCCATGTCATTTTTAAAGAGTCATCTGGCAGGAAGGCTCCAAATGTCCGAGGCACCGAGGATCCGAATAGCGAAGCATCATTTGGCAAAAAGTCTTGAGTCCTAGATTTCCTGGCACCCACTCTTTCTCTTCTGACGCTACGAAACAGGAATCTCTGAACCCCTCTCTGTTCTACATTGATGTCAATTGGATTCAATTGAGCGGTGTCAAAAACCATCCGGAACTTTTATTAAGATTATAACAACCTTTCGCCAATCCCTTCGCAACGCTTTCGCGGCTGCATGTTTTGCTTTCGCCGACCCACTTCACCCGAAAACCTCTTTAGCTAACCCTTTCGCCGAGTTTCTGCTACTTAAATCTAAGAAAAGTATCAGCAAAGGGGAATCATTCCTAATCTGCAACCACTGCTTTCGCCACATCTTCGCGAACCTTTCGCCAACCTTTCGCCTGGTTCTCAGGAATCTTTGGATGACATGCTTTGTCCTGAAAACCTCTTCGCCAATCGCCAAGCTTTCCCCAACTGCAGTTTTCCTTTCGCACAGATTCATAATCTTAAGTCCTACCTAAATTCTTTCATAGAGGTTTAAGATGTTGCTCAATTCTTTCTCCGTCATCTGTGGTGGAGCCCCAGCCCAAAGAATGTGTTGGAGCCAGTCCGTTCTGCCTCGATAGCCTCTGCACGCGCCATGGCTCCCCCAAAAAGGAAGCGCCGGCCAGCACTGTAGAGCCAAAAAACACGGGAAGAAACGTCGGCCAGCCGTCTAAGACCCGCATTTTGAGTTTGTGGTTTCGGAGTCTGGCCAGAAAGTAATTAGACTATAGCGGTTCTTAAAGCATTTTGTATAGTATATGTGATTTGGTTACCTCCGCTACATGTTCTGTTACATGTTGCATTCCCAAGAACCGCACATCCACCTCCATTACTCGCCCACCAAGGGTAGGCCTGCTTCGGTAGCGAGACGGTCCGAGACCAAAGTTCGAATCGCCTTGACCAGTCGTGGAAAGTACATCGCACAAAGGACAGCAGGTACTGTAGTTCTGGTGGTGCACGTTGCCCTCGTCGTGCCTCGGCTGCCCGAGAACATCGGGGAGGTGATTGATCCTCTCAAACACCTCTGCTCGGTCGAATGGCCGAACTCTTTGTTCTCCAAAGATTTTGGAGGAACCCTACGGGGTCCGTGAAGGCGGTTGTCCAAACAGAGATCATGAAAAGCAGAGCCCCGCCCGTCATGGGCAAACAAACAATGCAGCAAATGTGAACAAGCATGGGCAGCTGTTGTAGGTTGTAGGCAGAATGGGTTTGCTTCATGCTGTCATGACACATTTGAGCACATAACGAAAGGATTCCTTCTTGATCTTCTTGATGGTACTTCGACAAAAATCAGTTACAAACACACCTTTCAAGGCAGTGATTTTCATGACTCTTGCGGCTGTGCCGCTATGTACATGCTCCAGCACGACCCCTATGGGGTCTGCTGGCGCAAAAAAACCTTTCTGGCCGACGTGGTCAGGCAAACAGCCGTTGTGAAGACGGGGCCCACCAGTTTGGGTAGAAACGTGGTGAAGTCACCATTAATTACCTACATTGATTGGCTTGAGGTCCTTGATGAGATCCCACAGTGAACACATCCATCAGCACACCAACTTCTTGTTCCTACAGGGGAATTGTCCAATGAGCAGCTGGCTTGACTGTAGAAACATATCAGCTTGTCTTATAAGGGTTTCGTGGTGTTTGTAATTCCCTGTATACGGTATATCAGCTATATGATCATATATCCAAGTTCAAGACTGAAGCTTAACTCTAAGAACAGTATACCAGTATCATCATATATCCGGTAACATAGTATCACATTATATAGTGATAATGTGTCGTGTGTGATGTATGTTCTCATCTCAGCTAAGTCTATGTATGTGTCTATCTCGATCCTTTGACACCTCGATCCTTTGTCGGCATGAGACTCGAGACTCGGATGCTCTAGGAAATACAAGAAGAAACGAGTATTGACAAAGTAAGAAACAAAACCTACATGGTTTCACGGTGGCGCAGCTAACCCAGCTGGAAGTAGCCCGACCAGAATCACTTGCAAGCCAGACTGCGAGGCAAATTGGAAACCCATTTTACGCTCCTCGAGCCCCGGAAGGTATGTGTTTGAACCGCCGTCAGCCAATTTGCGTACATCCCAGGCATCTCCGATCCATTCGGATGGCATCTTTGGCCCAGGATGGTCACGTTTGGATACGCAGCACGCGGTTGTGAGTGTTTCAGCTGTTGACCTGGCAGATTGGGAACAACTTGTCCGGATCATGCTCCGTGTGTTGTGGCACACACCAAATTTGGGGATCCAGTGCGTCCTTTCTATCGGAATTCTAAACAAACACTTGGCGCAAAAACACGACGCCGTATCAAACCCTTCCAACACAATATTAAGAATTATAAACGACATGCAACACCTCCAACGCCAATACTAGTCTCAAAAATGTCACATCTACACAAATCTACACAACAAAATCATCCTTCACACTTAACCAAAAACTATTTCATACGAATCTATCATGTCGTGCAGCCATCCCAAACCTACTCCAAAACCACAAGCCCATAACGCAACGGTTTCAAACGATGAATACTGGCTATAAAGAATTTCCTATAAAGAGATTTGCCGCCGCAATGCTCGGCTGCGGAACATGAAGAATGATTCATCAATTCAATGCAATCAAAAGAAATAACTACAACGCTGCACCCTTGCCACTAACCAAACCATGCAGATTGCGAAGCGATTCCACGATGGGGAAACTTGGAAACGGAGATTCACTATACCTGCTGATGGTTTGTGGCGTTTGTAGACAGACATCCTATTCTAGTTGCCAGGATGGATAGGTATGCAAGCTCTGTCAATGTGCAATTTCGTAGCTTTGCTCTTTGCAATAGGTCAAGAGTTCGGCGTCACGCATTCAGTCAGCGAAATCTGGTGCTTTGCAAATGTTGGAACGTTGCTACTTCTGGACTTTTCGGCACTTCAGAACATTCACAGTCCAACACCGCCGCATTTCACCTGACTTCTTAGGTCTCTGTGTACCAAGGTTTAGTCCGGGCTTGGAGCAATCAAATCATACGTACTTTATTTCAAGTGCCTGCATGGGTGACTTTGGATGTGTTGTGGGTCGTGTCGGTGTTGTAGATGACTCTCTTGGGGTGGGAGGGTATTGGCATTCGACTTGCGTTGGGTGTGAATAGTGCGTTTCGTTTGTTGTTCAAGATGTCTTTTGCGGGAAGGGATGACTTGTCATTCATAAGCATTCACAATAGTTTTCCAGCTCAGATCTCAAAAAAAATGAGGCTCGGCGCTGAGACATGAACTCCGTTTTTGTCTCAATATGTAACTTGATGTTGGCTGAAAACCCGCTCCATTGGCAGTCCTGAAAAGTGAGGCGCAAGACTCCTGAAAAATTCACAAAACTACTTAGATTACAACGACCTTTCCGCAAAGACGAACACACAACTTGATTGGAAGACGATACAGATGATTTGGACGCGGATGCTCCAACAACACGGAATTCGGTCTTTTAGCGCGTGACCCCAAGACAAGGCATCTGAAACAAACAATGGGTGAAACCTTCACCAACCCAAAACCTCCTGGTGAGGTGAGACAAGGAATTTCACCGGAAGTTTGATCACCGGATGTCCTTCAAAACACATTCAAAGACCATGTCTTTGCTTGTTATATGTTATTCATTCTTATTGCAGATACAGTATATGTGCTTCCTTGCTGTCTTTTCATCTTTCATTTTGCACGTTGCCCTCACCCCAGACCTATTGGCCCACCCTTTGCTCTTTTCGCACCTCAAGGTCACTATCCACCTGAGAGAGAGATGGAAGGAAAAAAAGACGGAGGGTGGTCTTCGTCCGAAACTGGACCGAGGAACCACATCACATGGATGGGTCAAGAGCTCGGACATGCTCGGACCGAGGAACCATGCTCGAAGAGCGGCAGCCGTCTTCAATAACTAGCTTCTACTCCAGCTTCTCTGAAGCCTCCTAACTCCTGGGTAAGAAAGGCAAATGCTGTGACCAAGGCGACTCTAATCATCAATCGGCCGGATGACAAGGGCACTGGGAAACAGCCAAGCCACTGGGATCAAAGCGCTTTGAATCCCGACAATGCGGCCGAACTCCACCTGCCAATGGGTCAAAATGTTCAGCAGTCCCCTACCCCTGAAGACTCACCAACTCTTGCTCGCTGGGCAAAGTGGCATTGTGGGGTTGCTGAAATAGTAGTGTGATATCACTTTCCACCGGCCATCCTCCTTTCTTCTCTCCTGCTCCTATGGATATGATTAATTGTCACCTTGGAACTTTCAGGGCATTCCATCGTGATGCTTCATGTTTTCCGGTGGAGTCACAGCAAGTTTTGTGAGGGGCGTGTATCCGGGAGCAGGACATTTGCTCACGCCCACTAGTGTGCTCACATCAGTGTGATCTTTGCCCGCTTCAGCATGGACCAAAGCCACAATTGCATGTCTTCAGTGTCCAGTTGGCTTTGGAAGCCCACGATCCGGTCGAGGAAACCAAACCTAAATCCTCCACCTGAGGAAATGCTCCTCAATCATCCTCTGGCGGCTATGAATCCGTTTGGATCCGGGTTTTTCGAAGCAAGCAAATGACTGCTTTACCTGGCATTGGCCGTCAGCCTGAAAGGTGGTTGTTCACTCACAAGGACTGCACTAATGTGAAGCGATGCTTGGACCAGGGCTAGGCGGACATGATTGCTCAAGAAAAACCGTGTGAACCAGCCTGGCAAGTCTCCTGTCCAGTTCCTATCTACGAACCCAGCCTCTAACCCGACGACTTGCTCAGCGGGGTGGACTTCAAAACGAACCTCGGACGAAGCCGTTTCCAACAAACTCACGGGTATGATGCAGCTTGGCACGATGCAGCTTGGTCCACTTGGTGCATTTAAGTGGTTTTCTCCGATCCTCAGGCCAACTGGGCTCCTGAAACAAAGACAAAAATTGGAAGAGTACACTTGCTTACTCGTGATGAGCGTGGATATGAAAAATGGACCTTGTCAAGACCATCTACAATCTACAATGGCGCCATGTTCTGTGTCTATGTTGATGGAAGATGGGAACAAGTCTGTTGATCAGCAGCTGCTTTGCCAAATATTCCAATGAAACCACATCGAAGGGGCGGAGGACACAAAGAGTCGCTGGTGGAAGCCAAACTGCAATGGAACTCAGCCCATCACTGATCTCCGTGCTTTTTGTTTTCCAACCAGTAGCAGAACTACAACGATCAAAAAGGCAAGAACCAACCGTTTCGCTTGTTTTCACCCATAAAAATGTTCCATCTTTTCCCCCATCGTTTCACCAACTCAATAAGTCGTTAATTGCAGAAGTCACCAGGTGCTCAAACACCCTGGTAGCCCTGGTAGCCCTGGTGCTTGGCAGCCAGACCCTGCTTGGTGGTGCTTCGTGTTTTCGTCCAGCGACGGTCAGCACCTGACCCTTCGCCTTGGACGTCGCTTAGGTCGGAAGGAAGCGTCGTGCGGAAGAGAACGACAAGGACTTCAAAACCCGGAGAAGGAAGGGTGACAAACATGAAAAACAGTTAACCCTAGCCTAGCTATGTGTATTGGTGTATATTGCTGGGAAGAGTGTGTTTTCCTTTTTGAAGCTATATATTTCTTGACTTTGACGCTGTTTGAGAGCCCTGCCTTCTCAGCATTGTTAAACAGTTAAAGTCTGCAGGTGTCGGCCACCAGAAGAAGGGTGGTGGGCCCTCCACATGGACACACAGGCGGCAATTAAGTGAGTCGCCCTCGTGTTGTTCTCTCTTCTGAGAGGTGGTTACGAGTCTGGATGCTCGTTGTTGTCTCGTTCTTCTGAACGTAGTAAGTGCAGCTACCTGCACAAACCACAGTATATAATCTGCAGGTGTTTTGTGCACTCTTGAAAAGCAAAGCTACATAGCTACATCACTGGGTATCTGTCTGCACGTCATCCAATTGCACAGTGAGCATCATAATGTTGGTAAATCGGGAAATGTATATATTATATAGAGATTCATTCAAGAAATGAGACGATGCGTAAAACGCATTAAACCGCTAGCAAATCTCGCCTCCCTCGCCCTAGGGTTCCAGCGGTGAAAAAGAGCAACTGGACTCCCAGGCTTCCGCTGTGCCCCACAGCGCCCTAGGTTCCCACAAAGTCATGTCGAGGAACATAGGGACCCCCCCAATAAGATTGGAAAGCTACTACTGCAAGCCCATTGGGCTATCGCGCCCGCTTGTTTTAGAAACAAACGCATGCACTGTGCTGATGGTGCTACTCAACTGACTGGTCGGTAGCTTGGAGCCGCAAGCTCTTCGCTCATATTCTTGCAGCGCACCAATCACTGATGAAAATGTGGTGTCTAGTGCTTGCAATTCTATACATATATATATATATCATAAATTCTATATACAGTATATCGGCGGGATTAGGTTCAAAACAGTTCAAAATGAATTTAAAGTCAACCTTGATTTCAACATATATATATATATGTTATATTACCTGTTCGCGTTCCTGGGTGCCATGAGCGCCAGTTCCGTTCCCCAAAACTGACAAGAACGTCCTGTAGTGAAGAGGAAGCACTCCCGAACTCTGCGGCCACAAGCGATTTCGGTGTGTAAAAAGGAGACCTCCCAAAGAATAGACTACAGTATAAAGACCAATACCCAATGGGGTCTCCATCTCCCTATTTCACTATGTGAGCTCTTGCAGTAGATGTGCTCTCCTGCCTGCTCAACTGCCACGATATAATCGCCATCCAGATCGTAGCTGACCTCCGTTTGCTTTGTACCTGTAGCTCAGGCTCCGTGGAAATGCAGCCAAAGTTCAGCGATGCAATGTCTACAGTATATATTATATACATGCACTTAAATGGAATACATCCGACCAAGCAGTTGAATTTACAATGATATGAGTATGATGACATGATCCATACTACTGATCATGATCCACTTCATTATTTATTCTCTCATCGAGGCCTCTAGTGCACACACACCCAGCGCCGTCCATTTTTCACGGTCGTGCGCCATGGCGTGGCTTTCACCAGCCTGACGATCAGGTCAGTGGATCAGATGGCACATCCCAAAGCCAGGTCGAGCCAGATATGAACATCCCCAGACTGCTTTCTTGCTTTCCTCCTTGCAATGATCTGACACTGAGACACAACTTGGTCCCCAATGCAGGAGCATCCCCAGACTGTGAAAACAATCCCAAAAAATACTGTAGCTCCCCCCAAAAAAGCTCCCAGCTTTGAGGCCACCTACTTCCTTTTTGTTCCTCGCTTCGGTGGTGTTCCTCCCATTCCTTCTGTTTGCGCGCAAAAAAACGAATGAATCGGACATCCCCGAGCGCAGCAATCGTCGAAATCGGAGGTTCTTGGCTTCCCACGCTATTGGAAGAAGCGGCTCAGCATGGACCACACATCTGTCTCACCAGCCGTGGGGACGTGAGCACCGGTAGACCAGACAGACCATGGACGAATCGTCTAACATGTGACCACTTGAATGGAAAGTGTCACATCTGTCAACTAAAGTTGGTCAAATGTATCTTGGACCTGGGCTTTTCGACATTCATGACTCATGATCAAAGAGTGAATGTGTTCATCAATGCTAATCGCACAAAGTTCCTGAAATATCCTGAAATATCCATGATGCTTTGTGTCTACCACATTCAAACTGTAGTTGCAAAACTCAAAATCTGGGAAGTCGCTTCAACTTGGCCCTCTCTCTTTCCCTCTCTCATTGGCCATGTCTGCCTCGTCTGACCGATCGCTTCGGTCTGCCAAAGCTTCCTTCAGGTGTCCAGTGAGGCTTCACAGAAATGCGCGTGGTAAGAAGAACTTGATCTTTGATAGTTTAAAACAAGGCCAAACTGCATCCTTCCACTCCTACTGAAATCCCAAAGGATAGTTTTTTAATGAAATCATCTTTCTGCGGTGATTTGAGGGAGGTTTCTACGCCATGCAAAGGCAAGTTCAAGAGCTCATAGACTCATAGGTTGGTGGGATGGTTTCATTGAAGCCAACTCTGCATCGACAGCTCATGCCCAGCCTGAATCCCATGAATATCAGAATGGACCCACGTAATCAAGAAAACACGGTCACCTGGTGGCTCTCCTGATGCCTTGCAGACTGTCCAATTGGGTTCCCTAGGATGTTCCGAGAACCTTCTGATATTGTCATATCTCTTCTCCAACCAGCAACTCTCGTGCCCCAGCCACCCCTCTCGCGCCTCCGCCAAGGACCTCCGGTAGCCCAGATTCGTGACCCGGATCCGTTGGATCTGCCCCTCATCCTCCGGTACGGCACGCAAGGCCCAGGGGTCCTGAAGGCCCAACGAGCGGCGGCTTTGGGGCGTTTGCCGACCTCTGGGGCGTTCAAAAGGGGATGGGAACGATGGAGCCCAAAAAAGAAGTGGGAAAATCGATGGGTTTTGGCTTTGGCATCTGGTCAATTGTTTTATCCACGAGGTATCTCGTAGTGAGGTTGGGAGATAGTTCAAGAGATGCAACCCCTCCAAAGGTCAAGAGGAGGAAATGAGAAGAACGTCTTTCCGTGCACAGCTAAGGACTTTATGATCAAGAATGCTACTGCTAGGGCCTGCTAGGGTGTTGGCTGCGGCTGAATGCGAAGTAAACTGAGAGAATGCGGAGAGAAGAGAAACGAATTGCTACAAAAACTACTCCAAATTCCACACCCAACCGTTAAACGACCTACAAAATTATCCTTAACACCCTCCAAAAAAGTAAAGTCTCCCACCACCCAGCAACTGTTGCCCTTCCACCAGCTACGAGTCCCCCAAATCAAAATGCCGTCCACCCAGCAGGCGCTGGCCGTGCACCCGCAGCTACCGTCTACCGCAGCAGGTGTGCAGCACCTTCAGGACCAGCTCGTAGCCCATGCGCTCGTAGAGCCGTTGCGCGGGCAAGTTCTTGGAGCTCACCAGGAGGATCACCTGAAAGGCGGGGCTGCGCGGCTGCGCGGCGGCGGCCCAGTGACTGGGCCCCGTCACTGGGAGCTCGGTGGCTAGCGTTTGGGGCTCAGTGCTTGCGATTTTGTGGAAACCGCATCTAGCTTCGAGGAGGTTGGGTGTTGGTGGTGTCTGCCCATTGAAACATGCGCAAATTCGCCCAGCATCTGCAAGTGACCAGAAGGATGCGTTCACACCGCAGTGCATCCACATCTCACTTTTTCCTTCCACCAGTCCTTTGCATGAGCCATTGATGAGACGGTTTCCATCATTACGCCGTTAAACCATCGGAAGTTTGAACACCAAATGGGATGAAACCATGAGACGCGAACCACTGTTCACGCCCTTGGAGGAACATCCTCTTGGGTCGTCGCCTCCGGCACGCGAAGGACATCTTTGGCCCAAAGCTCCGCCTGCGAGCGAGGTGGGAGTTCCTCATTCTTTGTCATCGATCCTTGGTTCGATGTTCTGGTTTTGACATGTTTTTAGTCACTGATTTCACTGTTTTCCAAGTGTCAAGTACCCAAAGAGTGGACAGGTGTGATTTTTTGTGTATAGATGATAGGTCTCGTCTGGGGGCTGAAGATCTTTACACCATGTATGTTTCCCGTAGGTTGTGGGTCGAGTAGGATTTTGAACAACTTCCCAGTGACCCTCCACATGGAGGGTTTCCAAGCGCCCCACAAAAAGCAGCTCAAAGAACACAGGTCTTGGTCCTGGACCACTTGCCCTACAAATGTGTTTAGAGCTACAAACCTAGAGAATGCACAAGTTTGCTTCCAGTGGCGAAAAAACTCATCCTTTTCTTGAAAGACTCGAAAGACTTTCAGATATGGATGGGAAGGAAACCCAGAAAAAAACAAAGATGCTTGCGAGTGTCTTGCTTGGCCTTCTCAGCTGGAGTTCGCCCAATGGCGCTGCGATCACACGTCAGTGGCCCATCATCAAGGACATTATGTATTATCAGATTATATAATTAGGTGTCTGATATGTGTTGTAATCATCCAGGCCCCTGGCCTGGTGAACATGTTCTGGACTATCACAGGTGGGGTGTTTCAGAAGGTTGCTGTTTAGCTTGAGATCCCCCAAGCAATCTCGCAGCTGGCTTGCCTCTCCAATCTCCGACCGTGCCTCCATGACCAATTGTTGGCCAAGACCTTTCTTTCGTTGATCCGGCAAGACCTAGGTTGACGGGAGGCACACCCTCAGACTGGACCGTCCGAGCTTTTGAGTGGATAGAAAGCGAAGCGCCTTCCTGACATGGTCCATGGCAAAAAAGGGAACCCACGATGCAAGAATACATCCTTATCAGGACTGTCGTTTTTGCAGGTGGATTTGACGGGTCAAACAAGAGCTACCAGACCTCGTGTTCTCGAAGAGATCCGTCAAGAGTCAAAAGAATGTCTACATCATTTGAATCTACAGTAAATTGAGTTCCCTACTGGGAGTATTGTTGCTTGCGGGTGTCTACATACTTCTTGTTTGACAAAGTGTCAAACCAAGGTGCCGAGAGGTTTGACATGTAGGCGACTCGTTGCCTGCAAGTCAGCCAGATTCGAAGCAGAACCGGCAGATTCTCCGAAACGGAACCCAGAACCTCAGGTTGGTCATGACTGAGTGAACAGAGAGGAGGTTAAGAAAAGAAAGCACACTGAGTGAACTGGGCAAACTTGAAAAAGCAAGTTGTCTACCTTAATCAGACCCCATGCACTGATATGCACTGTGAATACCCTGCTCTGGAAAAGACTGATGCAGCACAAACATGTCCAATGGTCACCTGAATCCTCCCTCGGTAGTCCACCTCGCTGGCCGCCGCCGCTCCATGCTCGCTACCCGTGCCACTGAGGAGACCGGGAGCTCCTGGTGGAGTTGTCCAAGCGGTGGAAGTCCAATAACAATCTTCGTGTGAGAGGAAAAAGCTTCCAACTCATCATGGCAAAAAATCTGAAAAGAATTGAAAAGGACCGACCGACTGTTGCATTGTTCAATATTGTTCTGTTTTGTTCGAAAAGGACCAACTCCTCGAAAGGCATCACTTCTAAGCCCACACAGCCCACCAGCTGATCTGTCGAGGTCGCGAGACCGGTCGACCGGTGCGTCTAGAACGCATGCGACGGTCTCGCCGTCAAGAACCGAAAGAAGATTTGGATGAATCGGATGAACAAGACTAAGTTACTTGTTCGATGTCTTTTTTCAAATCGTGTTCAGTCAGTTATTGTTCAAATCGGTTTTCGGGGTTGCACCATTGTTGTTGAACAAGATTGAACCATTCAGAAGAAGCTGACGTGTCTTTGCACGGACCAACTTGTGAAGGACGTGGCCTGGGAACTCTCATGATCCGGCAACGTGTCACGGACTGCCCGTCTGAGCGACTCGGTGGAGCTCTCATGATCCGTCAGACATCAGCGAGAGAAGAAGGTCTGTGAGACGCTCTACGTCTGCGAGGTAACTGGGGGAGCCCCTCATAGAAAGAGGCTGAAAAAAAAAGAACACCTGCAGCTCCGAACAAGCTGTCCATCTGGATAGAAACACAGCTCAACTCAGACCGTCGACTGGTCTCACAGGTCTCACAGGTCTCTTCTATAGGTCTCTAGATCTCTGCTTGAAAGTGCGAATTGACCCATGAATCGCGTGATGCGTTCATCTGCAGCTGGAATCCAAATCCATGTGAAAACTCATATCAGTACTGGGTTGGTGGTGAGTAGGACTGACTGGATTTATGTTCATGTGGCCGGTTGAGGTCAGGTCAAACGATCTCTGGGGTGTCAACTTCGGCCACGAGCGGATCAGACTGCGAGCACGGTAGGCCTTCCTGGTAGGCCAACAAGAGTGAGGCCGGGCCCATGGTGTACCGCATCGCTAGGTCCTCGTACACCTGACATGCTTGGTGGAGACGGCAGGTTCAGGTTCGGTGAGTGGACGCATAGACTGTATTGACTGGATCGTAGAGTCTCTAGGACTTAGGACTAGAATTACATTGTACTATATGCCACCCGGCCAATTTATACGTCTTTTTGTCGATCCATCCAACCGTCCAAAAGGATTGCTTTCAGGCAAAAGAATGCTACATGATCACCTTACAACAAATTCAATTACAAGGAAGCCTGTCCTCCCATGTCCTCCCAAGGTTCCTGTTTGATCAAGCCATCATTGCGAGACACCAATTCTCGATCAAATCCCCATTCCTCCAATACATGGAATGAGTGGAATCGTCAACTTGTGGTGTTCGCCTACAACGATGACTTTGGGTTAGCTTCGTTTTTGACTGGTCTTCCCAGAGCGGCACCAAAACCACGATATACGCAAAAAAATACAGAACGCCTGCTCTTGCAGCCGCCGTAAACCTTTGGCTGTAGGTGTGGGCCAACGGCCGGCATCATACATCGAGAGAAAGAAGCTCTCCGCCACCACAGCTGCTGCAGCCTTGTCAAGGAGATGGACTGAACCCACCAACTGAACCCGCCCACGTCCCGACCACAAGGGGCGTTGGATTCGGTGGACTCAGCGAGCCGGGGCGGACGCTGCAGGACCCCTCTGGAAGAAAGACAGATCTGACTTGATGGCCTTCAAGGTCCAAAGGGTTTTCCTACCAAATGACCAAGGCTTTACAGACTCTGCGCATGTCCACTGGATGTGGCCTGTTTAAGCCGAAACCTTCGCCGCCCACAACGTGCCTCTCGGAATGAAGGGTTTGATCCCCAGTCTGTCCAACCCTCCTGCCAATGGGTTTCATCTTTCAGGCGTTGCAAGGTCTGTCCAACCCTTCTACTGTATTTCAAGAATAGGTGTTGTGTATCAGAATCCCGAGAGCAAGCCGGTTACAGGGGGTGACATGGATTTTACAGTCGAAATCGGAGTAATGATTAAATCAAATCATATACCTCAAGATCCACTCTGTAGACGATGTCAATAACATTGACTCTTTGCCGGTTGTCTTCCTCCTGTAGCTGCCTGTACGAGTAGCTGGGGATCCACATTTGACCATTATATATATACCTCTTTCCATGTGTATGATCTCATATCATATCCCCACAAAGGCTTCCTACACGCAAAGGCTTGACAATTAAACCTCTTTTCGTGATGAGATCAATATCAAGACCTAGAAAAACTACACGGAGTTGGGCTTCAACTCATAGCTGCCATAGAATTGCCCGACGAGTTGGACAACCTGTTCACTTCGATCTCCGATCCCCGCCTCCAGCTCTCGCCGCTGGGGACCCTCGCGCTCGCCCAGGTGAAAGATATGGACCTGGTGTGGTGGACAGGCCACGTCCGGAAGTAAGGACCTTGCCTGTACCGTATACCACTCCCACTTGCAGGACTATCCCGTTTAAGTTGAACTCACAACAAATGCCTCATCTGAAGCCGTGGTTGAAACCCATTTAAAAAATATGTATAGTGTCCTACTGCAACACTCACAGCTTAGGAAATTATCTGCTGACAGCTGGGGTGGTGGGTATTGGAAAAACGAGGGCGAGTTCATCTCGCGTTTAAGGTGCGTCTTCAAGTCAGCTTTGAGACTCTTGAGTTTCCACCTGAAACTCAAGAATGCCCCCAACAAAAAACTCCGGTTGCGCGAAACTCGCAACTCCTGCCATGTCCCCTTCCCTCCGGCTCCCTCCGGCTCCCTCCGGCCTTTCCAGAGCTCACTCTGCCACGGCGCGCATGGCGGCACGCCGCCGTGCCCGCGGTGGTGCCCACAGCGGTCGCCACCGGGCACCGGTGATCACGCCGCTGGGGCCTTGTCCCTTGGGCAAATGGGTCGGTGGTGAAGGGGTGAGTTGGTCTTCCTCAATCTGTTTTGGTCCTGAGCTCTGCCCCAAGGCAAGAGTTTGGAAGTCTACAAGGTGGTGATCTAGGTTCGAAATGGGCGACCCTTTTTTCCGGATTTTTTCCAACGCGTTTTGGGAATGTGTTTCCGCACTGTTTGTGGTCTGGGGTTGCCACAAAGAGAAAAAGAAAGAGAACTAGCGCAGGAGGCAAGGGACAGAAGAGTAAGAGGAGAAGGAGAAGAAGGAAAAGGATAAAAAACTAACATAGGAGGCAAGGAAAAGAAGAGTAGAAAGAGAAGGAGAAAAAGGAAAAGGAGGAAAAGAGGGAGGAAGAGAAGGAGAAGGAAAAAAAGAAGGAGAAGGAGAAAGAGAAGGAGACAGAGGAGCGAGGAGAAGGAACAAGAGAAGGAGAAGGCTCTTCCCGCTGCGTTCTTGCAGATCACAATACAGTATACACCAGCCATGTGAGAACGGTAGCGCTTACCGGTAAGTCTGACATATATAAATGTATGTCAAAACATGCATATGTATATCTATGTACGTGTATGTATGTAAGTTTGTCTATGTATGTATGTATGTATGTATGTCTGTATGTATGTATGTGTGTATGTATGTCTGTATGTCTGCATGTATGTCTGTATGTATGTATGTTTGTTTGCGCTTGTATGTATGTATGTATGCGCTTGGTTGTTTTCTTGGCTGTCGTGATGCGCTGTAGCAATACCATCAATAAAAAGAGCGAGAGGGGGTGCGGGGGAGGGCGCAGCGCCTCCCCGCAAGGAAAACAACGTATATTGAGCGTCCACGCGCTAAAAAACCAATCACCAAGAGTCGTTTCTGTCCAGGTCCTTTTTCTGTAGTGTGTTTCAGGGTCAAGTGCTTTGCAGGCCAGTCGCTTGCAAACTGGTTTGCTGGTTTTGTTTGAGTCACCTGCTTAAATTTAAAAAGCGGGAGGGGGTTCGGGGGAGGGCGCGGCCTTCCTCCCTTCCTCCCTTCCTCGCTTACTTGCTTGCTTCCTTGCTTGCTTCCTTCCTTTCTTCTTCCCTCCCTCCTTCCTGCTTCGTTCTTCCTTCCTTCCTTCCTTCTTTCCTTCCTTCCTTCCTTCCTTCCTCGGCAACAGAACCTGATAAAAGAAATCCCAAAACCCGTTGGAAAAAGAGTCCAAAAAAAAAAGGGGTTCCGTTGGAAATCGAGGGAGTGCAACAGCCCATCACTGTGGACAGCAAGTCATCGCTGAAAAAGAACAGCTAGTGTCAATTCCCTTAATTTGGCAGCAAGTTGCACAAGCTTGATCGGGTGACCAGCGCGGGTGGTGCACATCCTGGATGCAAAACTTTGCTGAAGCATGCTGAAGCAACGACTGAAATTCTCTTCGGAAGCCTGAAGGTGACGGGTGACAGAAGCCTACACACATCCGAGTGAAATCAAAACACTCAGCGATGTTCGTCCAGCTCTTAGTATCAGCCCAGGTCAGTGAAACACTTTGGAACTGAACACTCCGTTTCAAATAGCGGCTTTGACTGGTTCAATGCAGAAGCTCGTGGATCCTCGCTCATGAGCTGAAAAGGGCACCAGTGCCCAAGCAGCAAGCATCTCGGCGTGCTCATTGCGGCTAATTGCCACGATCGTTTGGCTGCTTCAAGTGCGGTGGACTACTCTTGGTTGAATGGTAGTAGTGCATTCAGGAATGAACGAATCCATTGACAAATCGATGGTGGGTGGGCACCCTGCAAATCTGGTGGCTAATAGACACCAAATGTCACCCTCCATTTTTTGAGGCAGTGGCAGCCAGGAGCCTTTCATGCGGAACATGGGTTGAGCATGCTGAATGCATGTGTGATCTCACGTTTGGCTTTTGAGTCACAGCTGCAAAGTCCACCGTGGATCGGCGTCGGTGCCGGGCGGACGGATTTCGGACGGCAATTCTGCTCTGGCGTGAGAGCGAAAGGTCTAGCAGCAACGCTACTAGTAGCTCCTGGCATCGCTACTAGGAACAAGGACGCTACTAGTAGCTCCTGGCCTTACTACATGCACTCCCAAAGAAGTCTTCCTGGAAACTCGAAATGGAATGGTCACTGTCCGGTCTTTTTACCGAAGGACCAGAATGACCCACCGAGCATGAACAGCGAGACATTGGTCAACCCAGCAGGGTCTTGTATTGCTTTGGGTGTTGACTCGTAAGATCTCATAGCCAAAATGTTCTCCTCGGTTTCTCCGTCCTTCTCGGCCCCAAATGCGCACTCTCTGATGGAACATCTCCCAGCAAGAGGCGTGCGGAAAAGGCCTGCGCAGTGAGCAGCAGCTGTGACATGACCAATGAGGCTAACAGCGTTCGCACATGCATTTGATGGAACAAAGATCATAGATCCAAAGAAATCACCCCCTGCCACTGCATTCTTGGACGGTCTGAAGAGCAAACACATGAAGGCTCTGATCCAACAATGCAAGTGCATTGCCTGTGGCTCCAGACTCTGTGGCTCCTTGCTGCTGGGAAAGGATGGTCTCAAGAAATGAGACACGAACGCTACAGAAGTACGAAGTAGTTGCCTAACGTGGATCATTCCGCGCACATCGCAGCCAATGTCATCGTGGCAGGTTCCACTTTCAACACGTTCAACGGACAGAATATGAGATTGATGTAATTATATATATATAACTATGGCAAATGCACCATGGCCATCCTCTTGCTGAAATGGCCGAGAATTTACCGTCTCAAGATTGAAGCGGAACCTGCACAAAACCTAGCTGCAGCCCCGCTCCGTGCTTTCTTAGCGAAAACGTATGTTTGATGAGATGACACAGTGTCTGGGTAGAATAGCATGTGTGTATGTTTTAGTTCAAAATATTAGCAAAAAAAATGCTAGCTGCTAGCTGCTAGGAAGGGTCCTTCCTAAAGAAGGACACAAATCATACATGGGTGATCATGGGTGGTGATCCACAGATCGGTCATTGGTCTCCTTCAACCCTTCAGGCGATCCATTCAGGCCATTTGGCCAAGACTTCCACCCCATCTGCGCCGCGTCTGTTTCGCGCTCTCTTTTCGTTCCAGCGGAACTCTCAGAAGGTCCCCACGTGCTTTCGATTGAAGGTGCGGGTGCCTGGCACTGGAGAACAAGCTGCTCCGGACATCTGGGTGCTTGGTGCAAGACTGTGAGTTGCCAACCGAAGAACAAAACGAGTCCTGACCTTTTTCCTTCCTTCCATGGTGACAATAGATTTTAAACGGTTCTGACCCATCCAGGAGTGTGGCGCATTGCTTCTCTTTGCTGCAACAAACCCATGTGAGAAATCACCTAGGTTCAATTAACAAACAGACTAACAACATGGACCACCCCAATTGGACCAGGGAGCCATTGGCTCCTCGTCTTGCCCCACAGGTGGCTCCACCTGAGGGCATCCAACACTTGGAGCGTGGCTCGCTCTGCCTCGGTCTCGGCAGGAAAACGGGGACATTGAATTCGTTACTGTTCGGTGTTCTGTCATAGAAATTGGAGACAGTCAACTTCTGTGGATGGCGATATGGCGTGATGGTGATGGCTTCAAAAGGAATTGTGATTCAACTGCTGTGGTTAGATACATATTAGATGCTCATCTATTCACTTGCTTGTCTCAGGCTGAAAGTTTGGTCCACAATGGTGAACAGGCGCGCCTTTGCGGTACGATGTTCATACCCAGCAGATCCTGCATCAAGATTGGTTCAACCCTTGCACACTTTTAGAATAAGCCTGCATTTAGGCTGGTCGAAATATATCAAAACCTTGCTCTCAAAAAGTGTCCAGGCTGCCGATGCCAGACCCTCTGTTCCATCTTCAATCTCGGAAATTTTCAGTATTGACACTCTGTTCGTTCTAGCAGCCCACCGGCCACCATGGGCACTGACGGGCACTGAAACAAACCGAAGAGCCCCCACATATCTGCTCTGCAACGGGTGAGATCTTTTTGGGCACCGAGTGCCTTTTTCATCTCACTCAACGTCTGCCAACTCCCAGACTACCCCAGCGTCTTGGCCTCCACCTTCGCAGGCACCATGTTGCGACAATTCATGTGCAACGGTTCTCCAGTGGACCTAAACTGAGCAAAACTGGGCACTGTGGGCATGGCAGGCCTGGAGGCCGAATCCAATCTCCAACAGCATAACCATTGGATAATATTGGATATGTCGAAGCAAATATGGGACACCCCCAACAAGTAACCTGGAGAAAGAGAGGCAAGTTGGCTGTATTCCCGTGAAGGAATACCTCCGAAAAGGAATGTATAGTAGAATACGGCGGCCCAATGGCCCAACGACACCTTTGAAAAGGAAAGGTAGAGAGTAGAATCCAGAGAGTCCATGGGTTGCTGGGGCTCCTGATTCCAGACCCAAACAACCAGCTAACGAGCTAAGCTATGCCAAGGCCACCCCCCAAAAAAACACCACACCTTTAGACACTCCCAAGAAAACGCACCGCCCTTTTGTTAAATGTGGTAATTAATGTTGATTCGGTTGGAGTCTGCAGCTATTAGCTTCAAAGCCAAAGGACGGATGCCACCCAGTCCCGGACTGGCTTTCATGGCAAGAGCGCTATGGCTTTTCCCATGGCCGAATTGGGGCGAACGTGAAATGTATTCTATTTCAAATGGCTATACATGCTTTCCATTGCTTTCCACATGTTCCAAGCAGGTACAGAATATCCCTTCACCACATCTTTCATCTTCCAAGAAGGACGGGCTCGGGATTTCCACTCGCTTCATGCAGCCCACGTGACCACCCAGGTTGAACCAGCTGCGCCCCTGCTCGAGGGTCGACGAGTCGACACTTCTTGAAGCTCCGATCCCATACGCTTGGGCCCTTTACCTTGCCTCCTTCCACAGTGCGACACGTCCTCATGTCGTGGCTTCTCTTGAGGTAGCTCTGATGAGGTAGATGTCCGTTCATGGCCCTCATCTCATGGGTGTGGTGAGTTAGTCCATGGCTTCATGCTCCTAAGTTCCTAGTAGCAAGGCCAGGAGGCCCTGGTAGAGTCCTTGCTCCTAGTAGCGATGCCAGGAGCCCCTAGTAACTTCTTGTTACAGTTCTTTCCACTTGCGCCGTATTCAGGATGAAAGCTCTCGGCACCCGACGTGAGTTCTTTCCCCAAACCCACATTCTTCGGCTCATTGTGATCCCACCTTCTTCGGCGAAGTTGCCACTTCTTTCCTTGGATGTGCCGTGGTATGTGGACACTACATGATGGTAGTGTGAACCTGAACCACAGGGCGCGTGGTGTCCGGCTCTGGGAAAGTCAGGTGACTCGCGGCTTCTTCATTCACAAGACGTTGAAGATGAAGCGACCGAAAAGAACGCCAGCCAAACCGACCGTGTCGAAATACTTGTGGTTTAGCAAAGGGAAGGGTTTAAAATGGTTAAAGCAACTGCAGTTGCTGCTGAAGGCCCTCTCCAGCTTCGGCCCTCCACGCGAGGAAGGGGAACTCGGACCTCTGAAGGGTTGGATGCCCCGTGGGCCACCACTGAACTCGAAAAGCCATGCCCGTGGGCCAAGATCGACCAAGGGCCATATCCTGTAAGGGTCACGTTCAATCAGCCTACATTGAAAGTGGATGAAAAAAATACATACAGTATTTCTCTCAACACCAGTCAACATGCGATGTGTATCTTTCAAAGTGTAACCATGTAACCAGCTCTGTCCAATCTATGAGCCGAAACGCCAGCTCTTCACGCGTCACAGGCCGTTGCAACACAGTGCTGCTGACCGTCTTGGCAAAGCAGGGCGAGGGCCGAGGCACGCTCATGAGGGGTGCGTAGACCTCTCCTGAGATACTCAGAACCAGTGCGAGTTTGTCAGGCGTTTATCGGTTGGAGGCCATCGCTAGTAGGTTGGAGTCAGGCATTTATACGTGTTTGCCTTTTTGCACGGTTGGCAAGTCCAATCCGAACATCGCCAAGCGGCTTGGCACTTCCTGGGGCTCTGCCTTAGATTGGCTGCAGGGCAGGTCGCGTCCCGAAGTTGTTGACACTCGTCTTTGGGGTGTAAAGAATCAATGAAGGAAGCGCACATTGCAAAGGGCATATAAATACCATACAGTATTCTCTCCCTGCAATAACGATAATCAGTGGAAAATGCCGATTGAGCCTTGGATGACCATTATCCTCCACAAGCAGGTGGTTCTCCACTTGAATGATTATTTCAGGAATTTTCAGGGAACGGATATCGTTTTGGGTGGTCGAGGCCTTCCCTGCTCGATGGCAGTTCGGTACTTTCTCCACCGCAAGCATAGGTTTACCCCATGTGGGAAAAACGCAGTACGACTGAACCACATGTCCGCTTTGGAACCGCACCAGAGGAAAACAACTGTAAAATGGGGGTTCTGGGGAGTTCTTGTTCATCAACCACCTCGTTGATTTTTTTTGGCTCTTGAAAATTAATGTTGAGCCTTTGTCATTTTTCTGGGGTCTTGTTATGCATGTTTAAGGGTCATAACTTTCACTATCATTGCTGTAATTCAACGAGGTGGCTGATTGTTTAGGTTGTTGTGTTTTGTTGTTTGTTGATGTTTTTGGGTTTGGGGTTTATATTCCTTTAATGCCAGCTTCATCATCCTCTCCATTTCTTATAACTTTCGGCTGTTCTTTTCCTTCTGCTTTGTTTTGATGTTTGATGCTTTCCTCGTGTCGTTTGACTTGATATTTGTTTATGATGCATTCACACACCGGACATACTAATGGTTATTCGCTTTTGCTATAGTAGTATTGTCTGGCATACTCTCTTATTTTGTTGCGGTTTGTCTCCCTGTATCGTTGCTTTGCTTCCAGACATAATTTACATTGCTTACATTTATGTTTGAAATAGTTGGGTGGTTGAAAGACCTTACATTTGGAACATTGTTTTTTGTCAGTCATTGTATCCCTATAAGTTTAAGGGGTTATGTGTTTAAATGCTTTTTAGGGGGTTCTCTTGTTGTGGGGGGTGGGTTTAAAGGATTAGTTCATAATATGTATAATTAAGATATTGTGAATTAATCAGTGTCTCTATGGTTTATCATCTTTTCCTATTCCATCCCAATGTTCAGATACAATCGGTTTGATGTTATAGAACACTAAAATGAGTGTATCTCTGTCCATATTTCGTTGGTCAATCAAGTGCTTCAACACTGACAACAATGTATAATAGTTTTGTTGTAATGCTGTCTTTCCTCCTCTATGGTGTATTCTCTCACCGTTTCTTTTAACAATATCTTTGTCAAAAATTGTTTCATAAATCTCTTTCATAAGGTCGCGGTTTATTTATTCATACTTGTGGTAAAGAT